GGTACCTCCCAATATTCGGTGTTTTGATGATTTTAGCGACCTCATTCACCGGAGATGTTTCAAATTTTATATTTAGAGTTGGTAATGGGAACTACAATCTATGTCTATGCCGGTCCAGGTCTTCGTATAGGCCATATATATATCATTACCTCACTATATTCGGTATTTTGACGATTTTAGGTACAAAATTAACCCTTTTTTTGAAATTTCGTATTTGCAGTTCTTAATTTTTCTGAATGAAAAATTGTTCTGAATTTTTAAAGCGATTTTTTAGAAATTTTTCTATTTTGTTCAAAATGGTTGAGGGCCGAAATTACTGTGTTTTTACTTGTCTATCATATCTCTGGTCTCCAACTGGCACATTATGAAGAAGTCCGACGGTATATTTTATAATGCTTATAACAAGGGCAACCACAGAAAAGAACGAAACATTACAAGCGCTTCAGGTTACAAAATAGCTTTTATGTGGCAGCGTAGTTGCAACAAATTGTTTCCTACAAAATGCCACATCACGAAATAACAAAATCAAGTGGGTCCTTTATTCAAATATCGTACCATACAAATATAACAACAAAATAAAATCACTAAGTACTTTTGCTGGCTTCTACAACAGCTCAGGTTCAGGTGAAATATTTATTCAGCATTTGAAAGGATTTTGTAGCAACGTAGAAGTAAACAATGAATTGTTGCGAGACAAAAGAAAAGTTAACAAGTAAAATGGGTGTTAAAATTGGCTGCGACAAGCCGTTTGGGGTGTTACAGCGTTAGATTGGGGGAGCGACTGTATTGTTGTATGAGAGCCCATAAAATTACTTGAGGTTTTGTTGAAATATTCGTGCCCATAGAGAATATATAAATTCAAAATTTGAGGAAAATTGTCATAAAAAATTAATTTAAAATTAATTTAATTAATTTAATTAATTTAATTTTTTCGAATCTAGCAGTCTAATGGAGACTCAGTAAAAATGCAAGCTAAAAACAACGAAATAAAAATTTACTTTTCATTAAATTGAGTATAACTTAATTAATTATATGCTTTCTGAACCAATTTTCAATTCTTGGGAATTGAAATGCTTATGTTGGGAATAAAGGAATATATTCGCCATTAGCCCAAAATGTAGAGGAACATTTAGATAACAATTGGGCTAAAAAATTATATGTTCTGCAAAAATGAGCTCGGGGTAAAGCTAAGAAATTCCCAAAAGTGAAAGAACTTACACAGCAACAGAAAGAAAATAGAATCAAAAGAGCTAAAGAGTTGCATCGCTTGGCCGAAAGTGGTGATCTGTGGGCCGCCATAACAGCCGATGGTCGCTTTCCCCTCGTATTAATCGACCGCGGCATCGGAATAAATGACGTATAATATCGCGAAAATATTCTGGAGGATCTACGGCAAATATTTTGGCCGTAGACCTTGGACATTCCAACAGGACTCAGCACCATCGCACTCCGCACACGCCACCAAGAATGGTCGCTTTATTTCAAGCGCGCAAAGGCCACCAAAATCTCCGGATACCAATCCGCTGGACTATTGTGTCTGGAGTATTTTGGAAAGCAAGGTTGGCACTAAAAAATACCAAAGTGTCGATCACCACAAGCAAGCGCTTCACCGCTTCAGAATGGGCCAAAATACCGCAGAGCAACATTCGGGCAGCGTGTAACGGTTTCATTGGCCATTTGAAGGACATAATTCATGTCAAATGTGACCAATTCGAACAAATCTAAACTTTTTCTAAAATTTGATGCTCCGAAATTTGTTGCTTGCTTTCAATAAAATTAAAAAAATGTAAAAATGATGGCGTTTGTCTTTGTTGCAGTTTTTATACCCTCCACCATAGTATGGAGGGTATATTAAGTTTGTCATTCCGTATGTGACACCTCGTAATATACATTTTAGACCCCACAAAGTATATATATATTATTGATCAACATAAAATTCTATGGCGATTTAGCAATGTCTGTCCGTTTAGATGCACTAAAAAGTACTAAAATGTACTTCATTTTGTACAATTTCGTATCACGTGAACGATTAGAACTAAAATCTTGAAATTCGAAATGGGAATCAAGGTTGAGGAAAAGTAATAAAATGTACTAAATTTAGTACAATTTGAAATTGCAGGAACGGATGGAATCCTGAAATTTGAAATTACCATTATTGGTGGAGTGTAAGATTGGGTTAAGGCGGAAGTTTTCAAAATTTTCATGTATGTACATGAAATTTACTAAATTTGGATTTGCGAGCATCGACAGAGCTGGAAAGTTGAATCTCGCAAACAAAATTGCTATTGCTTTGTAGGACTGAGGTATGTAGGTAGTTGTGGATGGAGTTCACACTTGTGTGTACTAAATGGTACTAAATTTGGTACAATTTGAATTTTGAGAGAACTGGTAGAGTTGGAGTACTAAATTTGGAAGTAATATTTCTATAGGATTGTATGATGTAGGTAGTTATGGAAATTTGTACTCGTGTGTACTAAATGGTACTGAATTTGGTATAATTTGGATTTGGGCAGACCAATAGAGATAGTGTTCTATACAAAATGCTACTGCGTAGAACTTGATTCCTGAAATTTGCTATCGAGGTCACTGTTAGTTGGATTTCTTTATGAAAAGACGTTGAAAGTGTTTTGGCCAGAAAAAATTGGATTGATGTATAACTATATATTTGAAACTTGGCCTAATGTTTCCATAAGTGTGGATTTTTAACGAATTTTTGTCAGGACCAATATTTGTGGATTCTAAACGATTTTGTTGATATAGTACGTGCATTTTAAAGTGTCAATAATTATGGACTTAAAAAGTCAAATATCAATAAGCGTGGACTTTTTATTCAATTATACCCTCCACCATGCTATGGAGAGTATATTAACTTTGTCATTCCGTTTGTAACTCTTAGAAATACTCATGCCAGACCCAACAGAGTATATACATTCTTGATCAGCGTAAAATACTAAGTCGATTAAGCGATGTTCGTCTCTCTGTCCGTCTGTTGTAATCAAGCTATCTTTTTTATTATTCCAGGTTAAGTTCGTAAATGGGACATGTAGGTCCATGCCTTCGTATAGCCCCCATATAATGGTATCTCTCGATATTCGGTATTTTGATGGTTTAAGCGACATTATTCACCGGAATTGTTTTATTATTGCTATTTGAAGTTCGTAATGAATACTGCAACCTATGACCGAAAATTGTCTGTGCAGATTCACGTCTTCGAATAACCCCCATATAATTATTCCTCCCCATATTAGGTATTTTGACGATTTTAGTAAATTTATTCACCAGAATTGTTTAAAATTTGATATTTGAAGTCCCTAAGGGTTACTACAGCCTAGGACAGAAAATTGACTGTGCAAGTCCAGGTCTTCATATAGCAGGTAATATAACAGTACCTTCCGACATTTGGCATTTTGATGATTTTAGCTACATTATTCACCTGAATAGTTTCAAATTTGGTATTTGAAGTTTGTAGTGGATACTACTGCCTATGACAGAAATATTTCTGTGCAGATTTACGTCTTCGTATAACCTCCATATAACTCTACCTCGGTATGTTGATGACTGTAGCGATATTATTCACCGGATTTGTTTCAAAATTGATATTTGAAATCCCAAGGGTATACAACAGAAAATTGACTATGCAAGTCCAGGTCTTCGTATAGCAGGTCATATAACGGTACCTCCCGATATTCGGTATTTTGATGATTTTAGCGACATTATTCACCGGAATTGTTTCCATTTGGTATTTGAAGTTCGTAATGGATACTACAGACTATGACAGAAAGTGCTTTATGCGGGTCCAGGTCTTTGTATAGGCCACATATATCAGTGCCTCCCCATATTCGGTATTTTGGCGATTTTAGGTATAATATCCAGCGAAATTGTTTGACATGTCGTATTTGAACTTCGTAATGGATGCTACCGCCTATCACTGGTCCAGATCTTGGCCCAGCTCCGATATAACAGTACCTCCCTAAATACGATATTTTGATGATTTTAGCTACATTCGAATTAGAATATGGTAATGGCTTATGACAAACAATGCCTATGTAGGTCCACGTCGTATATACCCCAATAACACGGCTACATCAGGTATTTTTAAAATTTAAACAGAATTTTTTAAAGATTTTTTTTATTGAAAATTTCCAAATTCGTTCCAAATGGTGGAGGTATTCAAAGTGCGGCCCGGCCGAACTTACTGCTTTTTATCTTGTTTTATTTTTTATTTATTTATTATTATTATTATTTTATTTATTTATTTATTTTTTATTTTATTTTTTTTTTTTTTTTGAAGAACTGGTATCAATGATTGCTGGAGATTTTTGTTGGAGTTTTTTTCTTTTTTTTTTTAAATATTTTGAGCCGTTTCCGTCTTTCATGAGAGGTGTCATGAGGTTCAGACCAATGTGGGCCATAGAGTGGGCCGATATTGTTGTATATGTTTCAGCTTACTGTGAGTTGTCAAGTTGAAGCGAAATCGGATACTCCATTCACTTCTGTAGGTTACTTCATCTATAATTAAGTAATTGTGCATCTTCGAACTGTTCGAAATTGGCAATCCTAAAATAGTGTGCAAAGTATAAAGCCAGCCGAACAGTCATTTTGGCTATATTAAATTATATATTCCCTCTATAGTCATATGGGTATCGGAGAAGTAAAATTGTGGAAAAAAGTATAAGGTCATGCATTTAAATTAAGTATTCTAATTTAAAGTCATGGTTTCTGCCAAAACAAAAAAAAAACATATTTTTTTACTTGGTTCTAGATAATTTGTTTCTAAACACCAACATCAACTCCAAAGCCAACTTGGAGCCCTTAACTTTCCACTAAGAACATTTCTTTAAACTCAATTAAATTTTATTGTTCTCCTCCATTGTATGCAGTAATAAATTTCAATATCATGCAATGCCGACATTTTTGATACTCGCTTAATTTATTTATACACCATAGAAGTGATATTCCCCCCGCTGCCAAGGATATGATACGTGGCAATAAATACTTACACTTTATAATCACCGGAAATAAGTTTGATAATCACAGCAAAGAGGATGAAAACGACACAGGCCAAGCTTATGAAACTTGCTCTTGCCAGGCGTGAAACGTTCTTGTAGAGGCACAGTGGCACCACAATGCCCACCGTTACAAAGAAAACCACACCCAAGCGAACGGCGCCCATGGAAGAGCCCCATGAGGGTATTAGACGTACCAGCACCTTAGACAACGTATCGCCCACCACAACATTGTAGGAAATCATGGCTATAATTACGGAAATAAACAAATATAAAATTCATCATCAACAACAATAATAACAACACAAGCACAGAGCGAGAGAGAGGCACACACACATATTACAAGCCATTTAGTTCCAAGTGCTGTGAATTTATTTATTGTTCAACATTTCCGCGGACACGAATTAGTCGAATGGTTTAGTGAATCGAATGATAGTCACATTTGTAATTGTTATTGGATTTATGCAATAAATTTGCGTTTTTTTCCGCAAAAGATATGGCATTTGGTTGTATTTTAAAGGTTTACACACCTGCACTGGAACCCTAATGGTGGTGTAGAAACCCACACACATGCATACCCACATACATACCTAGGAATGGATACATAAATTGCAGCAAGGACAATAGGTAGTAGCCGTATTTGCCGTAGGCAGCCTCCATTATACCAGGATAACTGAAACGTCCACATATGTGACCACACTTGACCTGAAAAAGACAAAACCAAATACACACAAACGAATACAGTTCGGTTCCAAAATACAGAAGTAAAAACACACAGCCACACACAAAAAAATGGAAAAATGCCATCGAAATGGGACCACAAAGAAACGTTCCAAACAAAAATGCAAAAAAAAAAAAACGTTTCGGTGGATAGACGAAAATAAACGTTCGTGTCATTGAAAATATTTAAAGGGGATTTGAAATGAAAAGCAACGTTCATTTTTTCGTTGGCACATGACCCTGTTGCACATATGGTGTGCCAAAAAAACTAATAACATTTAAATTAATATGACATTGGGTAACTTAAGCCGTAACATAATTCAGAGATTTTGTGAATTTGTTTTCATAGCCAGCTCAATGTGTTTAAGAGATTTTTTTATTCATAGGTTGCATTTGTTGTATGTCTTAAATTCATGGATCACTTCCGTGTTATGGTGATATTTGGATAACATTTGTATACCCTACACCACATAGTAGCAAAGGTATTATGTCCGATTAAGATAAAATTGTTCACACATTATTTATTTGACACAAGGACGGCCCCTATAGAAATTGGTAAGGATCGGTCCAAATTAAGATATAGATACCTTATATATTTTGGGCCGATTTCAGGTTTATTATGTACCAAATGGCTAATGTCAGCCCAAATGGAGGGAATTTTGGCACTTCCTAATGACTTTAGCCTATAAGCATGTACTTCAAATTCGGTGAAAATCGTTGTCAGATCGGTGTTTGATACAATTTTGTGTTTAAGGTTCTCATGGACTCTATAACAATGATATTTGGTACCAAATATCACAGAGACCTCAGAAATACCACTGCCAAATTTTATTGAGATCGGCTCAAATTTGGATCTGGCTTCCATATATAACTCCTTCCGATGAGCTATTGGTTTGATTTTTCCACATTCAACCGATTTTTTTCTATATACTCTACAACACTATGTGTTGGGGGTATTATAATTTAATTTAAAAATTATGTAACACCTCGAAATATCGGTTTCCCACATAGAAAAGTATATATGGATCTTCCTATCTCGCCGGGCTGAGTCGATCTAGGTATGTATGTCCGTCCGTCCGTCTGTCCATGTTAATTTGTAATCACTTTACAGGTCGCAATTATGGCCCGATCTTCACAAAATTTAGAATGGAGGTGGGGCTTGGGTCAGAATAGAACCCTATTTCTTTTGGAGATAATAGCATAATATTTAGGGGTTGAAATGACCAAAAACTGAAAAATTTCCTCATTTTGCAGTTGCTCTATAGGTCGCAATTATAGACCAATCGACCGTTACGTAGATGCCGATAGTAAATATATCGGATATATATAGCGAAATATATACAATGTGTGTATACAAAGGAAGGGGATGTTAGCTAGAATGCTTATATCTCAAGAATGGCTGGACCGGTTTTGACAAATTTTCTCAATTCTGAATGTCATCCTGGCAATAATCTAAGAAAATCTTATAAAAAGATGCCAATAATGATGTTAATATAGATTTTGTAGTATTTTGTAAAATTTTTTATATTTTCATATTTTTTATCGCATGCGATTTTTTCAATTTGACTTATAATATTAAAGTGTACATTTTGTAAAATTTTTCACCTTACAACACAGGTTGGGGCTATACATATTGCAATTATCGTCCGATCCTCACGGAAAAGGGTAGGGTTAGGCTGAGAAGGGCTAGGCCTATTGTTTTCAAAGATGTTCGCAATATATTTAGGTGTTAAAATGGACCAAAAACAGAACAATTTCCTGATTTTACACTTGCTCTATAGGCCACAATTATGAACCAATCGACGCGAAAATTTACATGGAATTAGAGTTTTGGAGTAGGCAGAAACCTACCAATGGGGGGTGGCATCGGACAATAATTAGCGGGTAAAATAGACGCTAAATTTTATGTAAGAAAATAGGAAAATTTACGCTAAACCGCGAATATTTTCAATCCCAGCCAAATCACAAATACATTAAAAGAGCACTTCTGACCATTACAGTGATGCTAATAGCCAAGAAATCGGATATATAGCAAAATAGATACAATATATATGTAAAAGAATTGATCTTATTTATTCTGCTTATAAATCAGAAACCGCTGGGCCGATTTTCACAATTCCAATAACATCTCAGAAATTCGCGGAAAAATATACCAATAAAAAGTGAATATCTTTTGTCGATTTTTTTCAATTTTTGTTATATTTTTTATCGCATGCGATTTTTTCAATTTGACTTACAATTTTTAACAACACTACGTTTTGAGGGTATTATAAGCATGTCGCAATTATCGTCCGATCCACACTAAATTTTTCAGGGGATCAAAATAAAAGCCTCTTGTTCTTAAGATGGACATTTAGAGGAGCAAATTGACTAAATTTTTTTTTTAATTTTGTAGTCGCTCTATAGGCCACAATTGAAAACTTATCGACACGGAATTTAAGATTTATCCGTAGCATTGTCCTTGACTCCTTTTGTTGATGGGTTATCCTTTGAGTTAACCCTCGCAAAAAAAGCCCAACGAGCTATGCAAAGTGTGGCCAATTCATTGGGACTAAAGTATGAAACCCTTTCAGTTATTAAACTCCCGTATATGGGTAACAGAGATGGATAGTTGGAAATAATAGCTTTTTAGCATAAGGCCTATTTATTCAAAGAGTGTCGCAAACTAAAATAGCGTTTTTAGAAGTTTTAAATTATCTTTTAATCAAATTTGCATATTGATATACTTTAAAATCTAGGAGTTACAACTTTTTTGACTTGGAGGTCAACAAAGGTATAACTACTTAAGACCATTTTTGATCTTGCACAGATATTTAGTATTTAGCTGAGTCGATGTAGCTATGTATGTCCGTGCGCCCTTCTATCCCTCTGTCCATGTTAATCCTCACGAATTTTAAAATGGAGGTGTGGTTAGATTCCGATTCAGCTCCCATATAAATCTTTAACCGATATCCGGTTCATTGTGCACCAAATGGCTAATATCAGCCCAAATTAATTGAATCTTGGCAATTCCGACTGAATTCATCCTAGAAACAAGTATTTTAAATTTGGTGAAAATCGGCTCAGATATAGCTATAGCTCCCATATGTATGTTTCATCCGTTTTAATATCATATGCGCAATATGCACTCCACAACAATTATATTTGATAACGGTCATTAGTTACAGCTCCAAAATACTTCTGCCAAACTTCATCGAGATCGCTTCAGATTTTGGCGGATTTTTTTTTTTTTTTTTCATATTCAACCGAATTTTTTTGGTGAAAATCGGTCGGGTGTTTCTATTGTTCCACCAAATATTTATACCCTATAACACTTTGTGTTGGGGGTATTATAAGTTTGATTGGGCCAAAAATTATGTAACACCTCGAAATATTGGTTTCCCACATAGGAAAGTATATATGGATCTTCCTATCTCGCCGAGCTGAGTCGATCTAGCTCTGTATGTCTGTCCGTCCGTCTGTCCGTCTTTCCATGTTAATTTGTAATCACCCTACATGTCACAATTATGGACCGGTCTTCACCGATATTTAGAATAGGGCAAGAACCAGAATAGAAGCCTTTTGATTTTCGAGATAATCGCATTATATTTAGGACTTGAAATGGAGCAAAAACTAAGAAATTTCCTGATTTTACTATACACGTCGGAATTATAGACCAATCGACTCGGAAGTTAGCATGGGTCTGGAGCTTAGGGCTGGGCAGAAGCCTTCCAATTTTGATGGTCATCGCTTCATATTTAGTGGGTGAAATAGACCCTAACATTTGTGTTAAGTAAAAGTCAAATTTTCCATTAAACCGCCAATATTTTTAATCCCGGCCAAATCACATACTATTAGGTCAATTTTGACCGTTACGTAGATGCCAATAGTAAATATATCGGATATATACAGCGAAATATATGCAATATATGTATATACAAATCAAAGGGGATATTAGCTAGAAGAAGTCTACCATTTTGGAAGACCATTCGATTATATTAAGCAGTAAAATGGACAACAACAACTAACAGTACGACGGAGTGCGTAAATATTGGAGAAATGTCCCTGGTCAAAAATGTAAGGGTAATACCTGGGCAGTGATCTACGATATAATTTCAAAAGCGAAATCTTCCAAAATGGATCTTCATTATTGCAACATAAGGGCGCTTCTAACATATTGTAGTGTTGTAGGGTATCACATCCTCGGACCCGCACGACTATAAATTTTGCATACTTGTTATACCCTCCACCATACTATGGAGGGTATATTAATTTTGTCATTCCGTTTGTAACTCCTCGAAATACTCATGTCAGACCCAACAAAGTATATATATTCTTGATCAGCGTAAAATTCTAAGACGATTTAGCCATGTCCGTCTGTCTGTCTGTGTGTCTGTCTGTCTGTCCGTCTGTCTGTCTGTTGTAATCACGCTATCTTTCGAACAAATTGAGATAGAAGGCTAAAATGTTGCACCCATGTATATTTTGCCAGTAGGCAGGTTAAGTTCGAAAATGGGCCATGTAGGTTCAAGTTATCATATAGCCACCATATAACGGTACCTCCCGATATTCGGTATTTTGATGATTTTAGCGACATTATTCATCGGAATTGTTTCAAATTTGGCATTTGAAGTTCTTAATGGATACTACATCCTAAGTCAAAAAATGAGCCATGTAGGTCCACGTCTTCATATAGTCCCCATATAACGGTACCCCCCGATATTCGGGATTTTAATGATTTTAGCGACATTGTTTACCGACAAAAGTTGCCTATGCAGGTCCACGTCGTCGTATAAGCATTCGGTATTTTTTAGATTTTGACAGAATTTTTAACTGATTTTATTTATTTATTTTATTTTTTTTTTTTGTGGAAATTGCCAAATTTGTACCAAGTGGTGGAGGGTATTAAAAGTTGGGCCCGGCCGAACTTACAGCTTTTTTACTTGTTTTTAATATAATCATGCAATATACATTAATGTACTTTGTTACTAGGGGCCAAAAAGACCATGTCAAATTTGTTAAAAATAGATTCAGATTTCGATATAGTTCCCAAATTGTGACTACTTCAAAGCCATGATACGCTTTCAGTTATGGTTCATAATCGGTATGATCTACTTCACATAAATTTTCAATATAAACTTTTTTGTTACGAGAGCTCTACTCTACTACTCTATGCATAGTGTGTTAAGTATCACACTGGAAATAAAGCGAGGAACCTCAAATTCTTGGGTGGCGCGTATATTAAGTTTGTCTTTCCGTTTGTAAAACCTCGAAATATACATTTCATAACCCACAAAGTAAATATATATTCTTGATCAGCATAAAGTTCTATGTCGACTTAGCGATGCCGTCCGTCTGTGGAAATCACTCTAGCTTCCGAACGAAATAAAGCAGATTCATAAACTTTTACTCAACTGTATACTATGTCTGCAGGACTTTTGGTATTGAAAATAGGCTATGCAGGTCCACGTTTTGGTATAGCCTCCAAATATAACGGTACCTCCCGGTATTGTGACGATTTTAGCGACATTATTCACCGGAATTGTTTCAAATTTGGTATTTGAAGTTTGTAATAAAAACTACAGCCTATGCAGGTTCACGTCTTCTTATACCCCTCACGTAACGGTACCTCCTTATATTTGGTATTTTAATGATTTTTGCGACATTATTCATCGGAATTATTTCAAATTTGGTATTTGAAGTTTATAATGCATGCTGCAGCCTAAGGCAGAAAATTGTCTTTACAAGTCCACATTTTGGTATAACCACCTACATTATTCATCGATATTTTTTTCAATGTTCGCATTTGAATATTGTAATGGCTTATGACAAAAGTTGTCTACGTCGTCGTAATTTCCGATAATATATTTCATATTTTCAATAACAATGCAGTTTTTAAGAACTAAATGCTGGTCATACCATTTATACAGAGTCAAGCACAATTTAGACAGAACCATTATCTCCCATCCCTGATATTTCCACAGATGAAAATATTCAACAATTTGCTTTGTTTACTACTATTCTTGTTGTCGCCATAGTTCTCCCAATTCGTTTCTTTGTTTCTTTCCCGTTCACACTCCCTATTCAGCACCCTTGTTTACACCAGCATATGGAAAATGTATGGTTTTGACATTTTAGCAAAATTAAAGTTTAGTGCGCTCTCTCTCTCTTTCTCTCTGTCACGCTGTTGTTTAAAGGAAATTGCAAAAATATTGTTTTTCAAAATGTGAATGCTTTTTTGGTGGACGCCTTCGCATGCCCAGAGACGTGATATGCAAGTGGAATATGTGAAGAAAGGATGGAGTAGATGCCACACGTTGCACGTTACTATTTCTACTGACATTACAAAGTGGCTTATTTGTCTCAAGGAGATTTGGTTTACATGTCCTTCTGCTCCTCCAGCTTCACAAAAAGAGTAGATTTGTTTGCAACGGCACGAACTCTAAATGTAGTTGTACTTATTTTTATTAGATGTTCAAGGAACAACCGAGTGAAGTGGGAGGCAAAATTGAACGATGTCGTCAACGAAACAAAAAAAAAATCTCAAAGTCAAAGGATATTATTAAAATGCAATTTTTCTAAAAGGATGTTACAGGAGGAAGGTTGTCGTTTCTCATAATTGGAAATGCAACCCATGAAGAATATTTAAATAAGAATTCAATGTAAATGTGGAGATTATTGTAAAGCTATTTGAAGAGGGGGGAATTAGGTTTAATAAAGTTCTAGAAATTATAATTCGCAAATGGTCCAATGATGTATTGTTCTATCTAAAAATGTGACCAACATCATATCACCATCAGAAGAAACGAATAGATGCATAATTCTGGGGATAATTATCGAAGAGAAACAATAAATTATGAGTCGGTTTTCCGACAGATATACCGGGTAAGACGAAAAAACTGCAACCAACTTCAGACTGCTGTCATTTTAAGGCATTTTTAAGCCATCCGACTGCTGAGCTGTGACAGCTCATTATATTCTTTAAAGGGTACAAAAGCATTTTGGTGAGAAATTTCCAGAAAAAAAGTAATTCGTGATGCAATTCAAGTGTGATAGTGTGATTTCTTTATATTTGGCTGGAAAACAATAAATGGCTATCGCTAGAGCACTCCAGCATTTAAATGTGAATATATATTTTGTGTCTCGTACCATCGCTCATTACCGTGATACTGGTAACGTAGCCCGACGTCAAAGAAGTGGACAGAAGAAAACAGCAACATCAGCAGAAATGGTTCGAAAAGTAAGGAAGCGACTTGATCAAAGCCCGCTTCGCAGTTGCCTAAAAATGGCTCGCAAGCTGAACATATAGCAATATTCCATTCGGCAAATATTGAAAAATGAGCTCGTGGTAAAGCCATTGAAATTCCAAATAGTTGAAGAACTTATACCACAACAGAAAGAAAATAGACTCAAAAGAGCTAAAGAGTTGCTTTGCTGGTCCGAATGTGGTGAACTGCCGAATTTGGTTTTCTCCGATGAGCAAACATTCGTTGTCCACCAGTATGTAAACAAACAAAATGATCGTGTTTACTTGCCCAAGAGGTCAGCTGTAAATGTGTACCCTCGGTTGGCCACCAGAACTCAAGAGCTGACCATACTGATGGTGTGGGCCGCCATAACAGGCTATGGTCGCTTTTCGCTCGTAATAATTGACATTGGCATCAGAATAAATGCCGAATATTATCGCGAAAATATTCTGGAGGGTGTATTAAACCCTTGGGAACGCAAACATTTTGGCCGCTTACCTTGGACATTCCAACAGGATTCAGCACCATTGCACTCAGAACGCGTCACCCATGAATGGTTACAAAATGAGGTTTCTCGCTTCATTTCCAGCGCATAATGGTCTCTTGTGTCTGGAGTATTTTCGAGCCCAAGGTTGGCACTAACAAATACCAAAGTGTCGATCACCTCAAGCAAGCGCTTCGCTGGGAATGGGCCAAAATACCGGGGAGCAGCATTTGGGCAGCGTGGGACGGTTTCATTGGCCGTTTTAAGGCCATAATTCGTGTCAAATATGATCAATTCGAACAAATCTAAAGTTATTCTAAAATTTGATGATATTTCCGACATTTTTTGCTTTTATTCAATAAAATTTTAAAAAATGTAAAAATTATGGTGTTTAACTTTGTTGCATTTTTTTTATCTCACCCTGTATGGTAAGCAATGACCGTAAAATCGGATGGAGATGTATATCTAAGATACTTATAATTCTGAATTGATCTTGATAAAATTTGGCAGAGGTATTTTCGAGCGGTATGTGATGCCCGGTATGAAATACCATTGTTGTGGAGTGCATCAGATGAAGCGTATATAAAGGAGGATTTTGAAGTACTATTATTCAGTAAGAATTCGTTTGGATGTGCCTGCAGGTCATTTGAACTCATATTTGGTGCACAAAAAAAATTAGGATTTTGAAGTACTTTTATTTAGTAAGAATTCGTTTGGATGTGCTTGCAGATCATTTGGACTCATATTTGGTGCACAAAAAAAATTGAAAAAAATTGAATTGAAACCGATCTTGACAAAATTTTAAACACATATTTCTAAGATCTATCTGATATGTAGTATCAAAGATTATTGTTGTGGGTGCATACTACACATGTGAGGAACTTGAAACCCCAAATCGGATGAAGCATCAATATGATTTTCACTAAATTTTAAGTACATGTTGCTATTCAGTCGGAATTGCCAAAATTCGGTCCATTTGGGCTGATACTAGCCATTTGGTGCACAATATACTTGGTATCAGATAAAGATATATGTGGGAACTATATCCTAATATGATCCGATCTTGATACATGTTGAAAAAGGTATTTTTGAGCTCCATAAGTTATCTGGTACCAAATATCATTCTTGTTATGCACTCCACAAGAAGGACGTATGTAAATGACTTAAAATCCCAAATCGGATTAAACATAAATATGGGAGATGTAGCTATATCTGAACCGATTTTCTTCGAGTTTGATGTTCTTGCTTCTAGACTGAATTCGGTCGGATGTACCAAAATAAAGGTAATTTGGGCTGATATTGGCCATTTGGCGCACAATTGAAGATATATATGGGAGCTATATCTAAATTTGCACCGATCATCACCAATAGGGTTCGTCCTTGGGCCAAACAAATATTGTTTGGAAAATTTCCTCTCGATCGGATAATAAATGCTACCTACATTTTGTTCACAAAAATACATAGACAAACGGACTGACATGTAGAAATCGACTATGAAATTGTTTCTATGAAGATCCTCAAAAGTAACTATGGGTCTGTCTCGCTTCCTTTTCCATGTAACAAAAAATGCAAAAAGACATAATGCCCTAACCACTATGTGGTGAAGGGTATAACAATTTCAAAATATTTTCTTCAAAATTCCACTATTGCATACATTTTCATGAAATTTACGATAAAAATATATTTTCAAAAATTCAGCTTTTTTAAATATTCCCAAACCCCCCAAATCCACAATTTTACAATATTTTCACCATAATTCCGAAAAATATACTTTCACTAAATTTTAAACACACATTTCCATATTCGCCCTCAAAGTTCCATACGTTGAAAAACTTTCCAACACATAAAAATAAAGGAAACATAAAACACATCCTAATAGCTGCGAGCAGGATGCTTCAAAAGGCTATAAAACGAGAAAAAAACACACACACACAACACTGTCCCCGTACTTACCATTAATATAAGTGAATAGTCCGTAATGTAGGCAACAAGTATGAGCAGCAAAAGACCAAGGCCAAAGCCGGCTCGATGAAACGCATATGGAATGCCAATAACACCACTGCCTACAATTGAGTTGATGTAGTTAAAGGATGCCTGCGGCAATGACGACAACGTTTCACCCAGTGTCCCATCGCCTATTATACCACCTAGGCCAATGTTTCCAATGGCACTGCCTCGGCCTGCGCCAGCACCTCCACGACCAGCAACATTTGCAGCCTCACTTATGCCATCGTTGGGGTATGAATTTCCATGTTGTTGTTGTTGCTGCTGTTGATTTATATTGCTCTGTAGCTGGAGGTCCTGCTGCTGCTGTTGATGGCTGTAATACTGTTGTGTATTGCCACCACCATGATGGTCATTCTGTAAAAAAAAGCATGAGAGGGCGAAAAAAATAAAATTACAAAAAAAATCTCATTCAAGTTGTATTACTGGCAGACGGCAGTAGATTAAAATACGAGAGTACATGCAAGAAAAAAAGTCGTCCATGCAATCGCGCTTGTTAAAAGAAAATCATAACCGTTGGGGGAATATTTGCCAAAAGTCAAAAGTTGTTGTGAAAGTAATCGTTGTACTGCACCGCAATTAAGTGCAGTTTATGGTGGTTGGTTGTCTAAAGTGTAGAGGCTTGGCTGGATTTTAAACTCCTGGGGTTAAATGCACAGTGCTATGAGAAATTTAAGTTAATTACATAACGAAGAGGGGTGGCCTATCAAAGAAGGATAAGACAGACAGGGAGATTTTTCAGAATAATATTTGAACAATTCTGAATGAGGATGTAGATATATTTATGTACAAATGAACATAACAAATGTGAGCATATTTGCCCTAAATTACAGCCCAAGTCAATTAGAGAGAAAACTGGCCGATATTAGCCAAAATACTCGCTTTACTTGGTCTATTTCCACTACAAACGTATTCAGGGGCAGCCTAGAAACCTTCGAAATAATCAATTTTTAGATATATTCCGAGCACTTTTCTTGAAAAATTTAATTTTTGTCTGATGTTTAAAGGTACACTTATTTTAACTTCTCTGCCACAAACACACCAAATTGCAAAAAAAAAAAAAAAAAAAAAACAAGAAAAAAGCTGTAAGTTCGGCCGGGCCGAACTTTGAATACCATCCAACATTTGGTTAAAATTTGGCAATTTTCAAAATATTAAAATTCGTTAAAAATTTTGTTAAAATCTAAAAAATACCGAGAACATGGACCTGCATAGGTCACAAGCTATTCCAATATTCAAATGCGAAACTTGAAAAAAAAATTCTGTTTATAATGCAGCTAAAATCACCAAAATACCGAATATAAGGAGGTACCATGGACGTTTTAAAACGTGGACCTACACAGAAAATTTTCTGTCATAGGTTAAAGTATCCATTACGAATTTCAAACACCAAATTTGAAACAGTTCCATTGATTACTGTGCTAAAATCATCAAAATACCGAATATCGGGGGTACAGTTATATGAGGGATATACAAGGATGTAAACCTGCACAGACTATTTTTTGTCTTAGGCTGTTGTATTCATTACGAATTCCTAACAACAAATTTGAAACAATTCCGGTGAATAATGTCGCTAAAATCTTCAAAATACCGAATATCGGGAGGTTCCGTTATATGTATATGTCATATGTGAATAATGTCGCTTTTATCACCATAATACCGAAAAAAGGTAGGGGTTTATATCAAAACGTGGACCTACATGGCCCATTTTCAATACCCGACATAAAACGTATATTTCGAGATGTTACAAACGGAATGACAAACTTAATATACACTCCATACTATGGTGAAGGGTATAAAAATACAATATCTCAACCTAAGAACATCGCAAATCGATAATATTGGCTCATCCCAAAAGGTCTGAATGATAACTTTTATAAACCAGTAAGGAAAGATCTAATGTCGGGCTGATCCGACTATGTGATACCCTACACCGCTATGCATATTTGGTATAGCCCCACGATATATGGGAATTTATATGAAGTAGATCATGTGAACCTTATTAGAATGGGATTCATGACAATTATAAATTGGTTTCAAAAAGAAGTATATCCAAATATGAATCGATTTTCGCCAAATTTGCCGGAGGCATTTGCACTCCGTAGTGTTGTTAAGTATTCAAAATAATTGCACACGAAAGTTGTGGTCCATTTTACAGCTAAATACAATCCAATGGCCATCAAAAATGCTAGACTTCTTCCCTGTCCTTATCTCTCTTCCGATGCGAAATTCCGTGTCGATTAGTTTTCACAATTGAACGACTACAAAATTAGAAAAAATTAATTTTTTTTTAGCCATTTAAACCTCTAAATGTGCATCCTAAGAACAGTAGGCTTCAATTCCGACCCTGCCCCATGCAAAATTTCGTGAGGATCAGACGATAATTGCTACGAAGATATAATACCCTCAAAACGTAATGTTGGGGGGTGTAAAAATTTGGAAAATTTAATATTCAAAATTGTAAGTCAAATTGAAAGAATCGCATGCGATAAAAACATATGACAAAAATGGAAAAAATGAAAGAAAATATATAACTTTTTTATTGGTATAATATCCCGCGATTTTCTTAGATTTTATTCTTTTCTAGCAAGAGACCATTCCGAATTGATGGGAATTGTGAGAATCGGCCCAGCGGCTCTTGATTTATAAGCAGAATAAATAAGATCAATTTTTTTACATATATATTGTACCTATTTTGCTGTATATCCGATTTATTGGTTATTAGCATCACTTAGTGGTCAGGAGTGATCTTTTAATGTATTTGTGACTTGGCTGGGAATAAAAATATTCGCGGTTTAGTGAATATTTTCCTATTTTCTAACATTAAAGTTAGGGTCTATTTTACCAGCTAATTATTGTCCGATGGGCGCCCAAATTGGAAGGTTTCTGCCCAGTCCCAAACTCTATCGCGTCGATTGGTTCATAATTGTGGCCTATAGAGCAAATGCAAAATCAGGAATTTTTTCTGTTTTTGGTCCATTTCAACCCCTAAATATCCTGCGGTCATCTCCAAAAACAATAGGATTCTATTCTGACCCTAACCCCACCTCCATTTTCAATTTCGTGAGGATTGGTTCATAATTGCGACCTGTAGCTTGATTACAAATTAGCATGGACAGACGGACGGACGGACATACATAGCTAGATCGAGTCAGCTCGGCGACTCGATGTTTCCTATGTGGGAAACCAATATTTCGAGGTGTTACATACTTTTTGGCCCAATCAAACTTATAATACCCTTAACACATAGTGTTGTAGGGTATAGATATTGATGCTATATCCAAATCTGAACCGATCTCAATAAAATTTAGCAGAGGTATTTCTGAGCTCTATAAGACTTCTGGTAACAAATATCGTTCTTGTGAAGTGCATGTCATGAATGTTAGGGACTTAAACATCAAATCGGTATCTATGATTTTCACAAAATTTGAAGAACTTGCTTATTGGTTGAATTCGGTCAGATTTGCCGAAAAAATCCTAATTGGACGAATTACTCATTTGGCGCATAATAAAATTGAAATCTCATGATGATATGTATGAAAGCTATATAAAAATTTAGACCTATCCTCAACAATTTCCGTAGGGTTCGTCTTTGGGCAAGACAAATGATAAATTGAAATTTTCATCTCAATCGGAAAATAAATGTGTCTTGCATTTTGTTTTGTTTGGCAGACGGACATCTATGAATCGATTCCGAAAGTGATTCTATGAGAATCCTCAAAAGTATCTATGGGTTTATCTCCTTTCCATTCACAAAGACATGATACAATGACCACAGTGTGGTGTTGGGTATAAAAAAAATATCCCGATCTTCATCAGCAATATCGGAAAAGGCCTTACACGCCTTTGGGTTTTAGACCGGCGACATTTGTCCTATACTTTCGACCCATGTCATGCTGATAGATATTAACAATAATTTCACACAGGTCCATTTCACCAGCTAAATATGTCCATAAAGAATGATATGATCCTTCCCTGTCTTAAAATCTAACCCCATGAAAATTCTGTGTCGATTGTTTAAAACCACTAAATATTTTAGGATCATCTTCAAAAACATTCTGACCATAATTGCGATCTGTATATAACACTCCGGACACATTGTGAGTTATACGAAGATTTAGACACTTGCATAGCCATTTTTCTGTCACAGGCTCTAACAGCGATTACGAACTTACAATATGTAGTTTTAAACAATTCCGATATGGGGGCTATACGAAGATCAGGACCTGCATGTGAAATATTCTGTCAAAGTTTAAAAACAATTCCTGTGAAAAATGTAGCTAAAATCATCAAAATATAAGGAGTAACCGTTATATGGAGGCTATATGAAGACGTTGACCTGTCATAGGCTGTAGGAACGACAAATTTCAAAATTGAAACACATATCATTAATATACCAAATATTTCGAGGTACAGTTATATGGGGACTACACCAAACCTTGGAATTTTTAAAAATATTTATTTGAGATAAAAAAGCTAGAAACCAACTTCAGACGACTCTCATTTCTAAGCCACTCATCCGACAGCTGTTAAAATTATTCCAGTGATAGCTCATTATTTGTTTACAAGCTTACAAAAGCATTTTGGTGAGAATTTTCCAGAAAAAAGTTATTCGTGATGAAATTCAAGCGTGATAGTGTGATTTCTTTACATTTGGCTGGAAAACCACAAGTGGCTATCGTTAGAGCACTCCAGCATTTAAATGTGAATAAATCTATTGTGTTTCGAAAACAGCAACATCAGCAGAAACGGTTAGTAAAGTAAAGAAGCGACTTTCGGCCGCGTCGCAGTGGCCGAAAAGTGTTCAGCTCATGAACATATCGCAATATTCCATTCGGCAAATATTGAAAAATGAGCTCGGGCTAAGGCCATTGAAATTCAAAAAAGTGCAGGAACTTGCACCGCAACAGAAAGAAAATAGACTCAAAAGAGCTAAAGAGTTGCTTCACTTGGAAGAAAGTGGTGAACTGCCGAATTTGGTTTTCTCCGATGAGAAAACATACGTTGTCCAGCAGTTTGTAAAGAAAAGTTAGGACCGTTACTACAGCCTGTGACATAAATTACTTATACAGGACCACGTCTTCGTTTAGCCCCATATAACGGGTTTCATTTGAGCGGTGTTTTTACGGATTCTTTTTTTTTTTCAATTTACTTCTAAATGGTGGAGGGTATAAAAAGTTCGGCCCGGCCGAACTAAGCTGCTTTTTTCTTATTAATATTGCAACTGGCTGACACTTTCGGTTCCTTATTTCAAATAATGCGAAAAAAATCGAACTGAATTTTAATTTCGAAGTGAAAATTGAAAACCTTTCCCCAACCGCATCACATTTCTGCATCACAACCACCATTCACTGCAACGACAGCGGCTTAAGGTCATGCCAACGAAAACAGCATTGCTGTAGGTGTTTAAGAACACTTAATTATTCACCATTATGTAGACTAAGATCTTCTAGTTTTTTTTACAACCCACCTATTTTCAGTTTTATAGACATGGGGGGTTTAATTAAAAACCGGAAAAAACAAAAGTATTTTTTCAACATGCCGATGGTTGAGCAGGACGTAACGCTTAAGTTTGTGCACTTAGTATGCACTAGCATACCTGTTGGTTCATATTGAATGTATGTATGTATGTCGGTATGTATGTATGTATGTATATACGAAAGAACGAAGGCAAATATTTACATCATTGATTGCAAAAAAGGAGAACAACAACAGCAACGACTAACATTTGCAAAGGATGCTTTCAATGCAACAGGGTATTTATATCGATGCAAGTATTGGTGAAATTTTTATACGGTGTTTGGCCATGGTATTCAGACTTGTATGTGTATTATAAACAATGTGAAATTTGCCATGGCAAAAAATTTTAAATATTAACCTATATCAATATTTTCGCAAAAACATCATGGATAGCCTACAGTTAGTTTTATAATTTTTCAGAGTGGATTTAGATTTAAGTATGGGTCCAAATAATTATACCCTACACCACAAGGTGGTCAGGGTATTATGTCTTTGTTTGTAACAGGCAAAAGGAAACGAGATAGACCCATAGTTCCTTTTGATGATCTGAATAGAATCACTTTCTGAGTTGATTTATGCATGTCAGTCCGTCTGTCCGTCCGTCCGTCCGTCTGTCCATGTATTCTTGTGAACAAAATGCAGGTCGCATTTATTATCCGATTGAGATGAAATTTTCCAAACAACATTTGTTTGGCCCAAGGACGAACCCTATTGAAATTGGAGATAATCGGTAAAAATTTAGATATAGCTCCCATATATATCTTCGTCCGATTTGCCTTTTATTGTGCACCAAACGTGTAGTATTAGCCCGAATAGTATGGAATTTTGCACATACAACCAAATTAGGGCTGAAAATAAGTATGCCAAATTTTATCGAAATCGGTTCAGATATAGCTATAGCTTCCATATATATTATTCATCCGATTTGTTGCATTTGTTACCCACAGCCGTAATATGCACTCTGTAAAAACAATATTTGGGCAAATACATCAAATGCAGCTCAGAAATACCTTTGCTAAATTTTATCGAGATCGGTTCAGATTTGGATATAGCTCCCATATATAACTTCGTCCGATTTACCATTTATTGTGCACCAAACGTCTAATATTTGTCCAAATGGGATGGAATTTGGCACATACGACCGAATTTAGTCTGGAAGGTAGTATGCCGAATTTGGTGAAGATCGGTTCAGATATAGTTATAGCTACCATATATATTGTTCATCCGATTTATTGTATTTGTTACCCACAGCCGTAATATGCACTCCGTAACAACGATATTCAGGGAAATACATCAAATACAGCTCAGAAATATCTTTGCCAAATTTTATCGAGATCGGTTCAGATTTGGATATAGTTCCCATATATATTTTTATCCGATTTCAAATTAATTTCGCACCAACTGGGCAATACATGTCCGAATTCAAAAGATACAAATGCTTCGGCATATTTAGTGCTTTGAACTTTAAATTACAATTATAATCATAATATAATTATAATCATCATAATTCTCCCATAAAATCTTTAAATTCTAATGTGGAGCTCTACAAAATTAGCAAAGTGGTGTAGGGTATTATAAATTCGGCCCCGCCCGACTTTAGGACTTTCTTTACTGGTTAAATGTCCAAATAATTCTGAATTTTTATACCCTCCATCTTGGAAAGGAGAGTATATTAACTTTGTCATTCCGTTTGTAACATTCTTAAATATTCGTCGGAGACCCCATAAAGTATATATACTCATAATCAGCATAAAATTCTAAGTCGATTTAACGATGTCCGTCGGTCTGTCTGTCTGTCCGTCTGTCGGTTGAAAACTCGATGCAGCCCACATTATTTGACGTAGATCGCCAAAATTTAGCAGGGCCATTTGTATTGTGTCTAGGATTGTTGGTATTGAAAATGAGATATATCGGTCCACGTTCTGGTATAGTCCCCATACAACGGTACCTCCCGATATTCGGCATTTTGATTATTTATGCCACTTTTTTCACGGATTTGTCTGAAAATTGGTATTTGTAGGTCATAACGGGTCCCTGTGCGTGTAGCAAAACATTGCATGTATAGGTCGACGTTTTGGTATAGCCCCCATATAAAGGAACCTCCCGATATTCGGTATTTTAATTTTTTTGCACATTTTTTCACGGATTTGTCTAAAAATGTGTATTTGTTGGTCATAATGGGTCCTAGTTCGTGTGGCGAAACATTGTAATTATAGGTCCACGTTTTGGTATAGCCCCCATAAAATGGTACCTCCCGATATTCGGTAATTTGATAATTTTTGCCACATTTTTTCACGGATTTGTCTGAAAATTGGTATTTGTTGGTCATAATGGGTTCCAGCTCCGGTGACGAAACATTACATGTATGGGTCCATGTTTGGTATAGTCCCCATTTAACGGTACCTCCCGATATTCGGTATTTTGATGATTTATGTCACATTTTTTCACTGATTTGTCTAAAATGGGTCCTAGTTCGTGTTTCTAAACATTATAATTATAGGTCCACGTTTTGGTATAGTCCCCATATAACGGTACCTCCCGATATTCGGTATTTTGATGGTTTTTGCCACATTTCTTCTGATGTTTCCTTTACCCTAAGATGGAGGGTATTAAAAGTTTGGGCTGGCCGAACTTAATGTTTTTTACTTGTTATACTCTACAACACTAGGTGTTGGGAGTATTATAAGTTTGATTGGGCCAAAAATTATGTAATACCTCGAAGTATTGGTTTCCCATGTAGGAAAGTATATATGGATCTTCCTATCTCGCCGAGTTGAGTCGATCCGTCCGTCCGTATGTACGTCTGTCCACGTTAATTTGTAATCACTCTACAGGTCGCAATTATAGGCCGATCTTCTCGAAATTTAAAATGGAGGTGGGGCTAGGGCCAGAATAGAAGCCTATTGCTTTTAGATACAATCGCATAATATTTAAGGGTTGGAAAGGACCAAAAACTGAACAATTTTACTAATTTTGCAGTTGCTCTACAAGGCTATAGCCTTTATTTGCTTGTTATTTATGCTGCGATGAGAGACCGTCACATTTTTTGATGTTAGAAAAAAATAGGTCCTAAGGTGTTTCATAGTCCTAAATTTTGTTTCATAGAATTTAAGATACAGATTTTTTGAATTGCTGCGTTGATTAGATTTACCAGAAGAAGTTAACCGATAAATCCCAAAGTCACAGCAGATCTTGTGTTAGTAGAAATATTGGGATGTGTGAAATATGAAGATAACGGGATGCTTATTTCGAAGTTTATAATCGTTTTGGTTACTCAAAATTTTGATCCTTTGTGATAAATGTACCAGAAGGAATGGACCGAGATATCCGATCTTAACAGCAGATTTTGTGTTAGTAAAAGTAACGGGTTGTGTAAAATATGAAGAAAACCGGTACTTATTTATTTATTTTGTGCCAAGTTTGGTTGGAATCGAATATTAAGTTCACGTTTTATGAGCTTAATGGGTATTCAAAATATTGTCCATTTGTGGGGGAGATACCAAAAGGAGTGGACCGATTAATTCCATCTTCACACCAGACTTTGGGTTAATAAAAATTATTATTTGGAACAAATCGGATCGGACTAGTCATCGGACATCGACTTCAAATGTCCAGAAACGGATTTGGTCCAAAACGGAATGTCCTGAAAAGGATAGGGTCTAAAAACGTTATTTCCATGAGGTACGTTTTGGCCGTATCAAATGATATATACCCTCTTTAGATATAAATAATACTTTATATTGAACAAAAATCATAAGCAAGAATTCTGAAATTTGAAATGAGAGTCACTGATAGAGTGCTGGATATATATATACATAAACAGATATTGTTCGAAATCTGAAAATTTGTATGAGGGTCGCTGTTCATGTGTAGCCTGGACAATGGAGGTGGTTTTCGGAAATGTATATTTAGTATTGATAAAGGAATAGAGATAAAATTCTGAAATTTTATATTTAGATTACTGATGGTATCTGTATTTAGGATTTGGCGATGTTTGGGAATGTGTCCTATTTTTGCACAAAAAATACTAAATAGTACTAATTTGGCATTAAGTGAAGTCTGGAAATCTCAAATTTCGTATTGAGGTTGCTGTGGGAGGCTGGATTAAGAACTGGAGGTGGTACCAGAAATTTGTGCCTGAATGGTACTATATTTTGTATTTGGTGTAGGAATAGAGGTGAAATCCTGAAATTTGACATAGACGTCACTGTTGATATCTGTTGTGGAGAGAAGGAGCTGGTTTTGGAAATGCGCAATATAATTGTAGAAAATGGAACTAATTTTGTAATGTGACTGATTTAAGAGCTAAAATCCTGAAGTTTGATATTAAGGTCTCTATTGGTATCTGGAATTGAGATATGGAGCATTTCCAAAGCAGTGAAGGATATGCATACAACGGGTGTATTACATGCGGACTATAAAATTTTGTATTGGGTGAAGGGATAGAGCTGATTGAAGACAATTTGAATAGACTTTTGGACAGATAAATTGGATATGGGTCTATTGGTCTATCCTAGATAAACTTCAGAAGGAAGAATTTTTTGAATAAATTTTTGTTTTTTGAAAAAAGTGGTAAAACTGAACAAATTGTGCATTTTGAGTACAAACAAGTAAAAAGAGATTTTAATACCCTCCACCATTTCGAAGGAAATTGAAAATTTTCAAAAAAAAAAAAATATCTGAAAACTACCACTTAAATGAAAACCGTTATATGGGGACTATACGAAGACGTGCACCTGTATACGGATTTTTTACCACAAGCTGTAGTGCCCATTACGAACTTCAAGTACGAAATTTGTTACAATTACGGTGAGTAATGTCGCAAAAATCATGAAAATACGGAGTATCGGGAGGTACCGAAGACGTGGACCTGCACGGGCAATTTTCTGTATTAGGTTGTAGTACCCATTTCTATCTTCCAGTACGAAATTTGAAACAATTTCAGTGAATAATACCAAATATCTTGATGTATCGTCATACATAAATTTTTGGCGTAGGCTGTAGTACCCATTAGGATCTTCCTTTACGAAATTTGAAACGATTTCGATGAATAATGGTGCTGAAATCATCAAAATACCGAATATCGGAAGG